TACTCACTTGCATTGCGCTGGTTTTTGTTGGCAAATAGTTTCATTTCAGCGATCTGATTTTGATTTTGTATCCCCTCCTTTCAACGGGTTGCACTTGATTGAGCGGCTGGCTAGTTGGTTAGTTATTTATTGATTTATGACGAAAATCAATTAATTCCTGTCTTGTTATTTATGGCCGCGAATTAAACTATTAGCAGGTCGGTGGCGTTACAGATTGTGATAGCGATTGAAATTCCGATTACGATCGGATCAATTTGCATGGTAACTGCAGCAGTTTAATTTGTTTTGATATGGATTTCCATAGGAATTATTAATAGGCCGAGTGCTTGATTCCTGTCGATTGTCCACCCGAGTCCCGCTCCGATGTGATCCGATCTGGGCGTTAGCTGATTAGTTGATTAGCTTATCCTATTGCCTGATTCCGATTTCGATTCTGGCTATATCTCTGAGCTGGATCTGATGCCTGGGCTGGAGTCTCGCTGCTTTGTCTCGAATCGTACTGAACTGTCACGCACTTCCTATTCTCACAAATTTTGACAACTTAATGCGGCGATCTCGACTGCAGCGGGGACCTTTATATGGACTCTTGGGCCGTTCCCCGATCTCTCAACCGATCGAGTTCCGAGTGTCTGGCGGAGATCGGATCGGCTGGCAGTTAGCAGTTAGCAGCTAGCAGTTGGCTAGCAGTTGGCTAGCAGTTGGCTAGCAGTTGGCTAACACTAGCATCTCAACCTTTCTACAACCGGTCCACATTCAAGCCTCTGCTCGGGCTGCGCGCTCGGCTAAAACGTAGCACATTCGCACACACTCGTTGGCCAAAACGAAAAGCCCGAGCAGCATTAAGTCTCTTTTTGCTTCGGGGCTATGAACCCCCTGGGCGAATGCGAAGATCCAACATCCAACACCCAACCCTTGCAAACCCCCGGGGGTTAGAACAGTCATGGGGGGATCGGGGGATCGGCGCAGGTTGAGAAGGGTTAGCCATTATCTACGGTGAACGCTGAGCCGCAATTGCCGTCTCATAAATTTAATGGCTCAAATGACTCTATTTTATCCAGCGGTGTGGTCTCTATCTTGGGCACACCAGACACGCACACGTGCCGGTGCCCTTTTTTGCTGCCGGCCATAAATATGCATGAAGTTTAGCCGCAATTAAAAGTCATTTCTTGACGCAATTACATCCAGTTCTGATTCTTAGCAGCCAATAACGATTAGCTATTAAATGGCTGTTCGGATAATTCAGATAATTATCCGTCCGTTCGCTATTTAGTTCGATATTTATGACAGATCTGTGGCATGCCCATGCGATTCTCATCCGATTGCGCTGACTAAGAACTGTTAGCCGGACAATCGAGTTTTCCGATTTCCATATGATAACGTGACCTATTCCGCTGCTCCACAGTGATCTCTCTTTCTGACCCCCTTGGAAAACATCCAAGCCTCATACATTTGTCTGAGAATTGCCATTTTGCCAGCTTTATTGCCCGTCATTGCTTGGTGTTCTTCGGACTATTGCCACCGACCGCCGACCGCCGACCGCCAACGGCTTAGGTGATCTGATCCCGAATGAACAATGAGCTCCCTCCTAACTACCACATGGCATGTGTGCCGTCATTTGCCGCCGGACGGCTGCTGTTACCCGGCTAATTGTTGTTTGTGTTTATGGCAGAGCGGGGCACGATTATGGCATTTGGGGCATCCCAAAGTCCCCTTTTGCAATGGCGCTTTTTATGCTTTCCCCGAAAGTTCCAAAAACTCTAGGTTGTGTTCGCAATAAAAGCTTCTCAGGGGAAACTTTCGAGTCCTGGATAGATAGGGCCAGTTCTCGCTCGCAGGATTGCATAATCAGTTACTTAATAAACCTGTTGGCCCGCAAACGGCGAATGGATAATACCAATGCTCGTTAGAAGGATTGCACAATCGCCTTATTAAATAGTTCTATTGGCCTATAACCTATTTTAGGCTTTGCCCCCTAAGCACCTCCCTGTCATGAATCTAAAACCCAGCTCTTAAATATGTAATTAAAGCAAACAAGTTTATTATTCAATCTCATAAACACAGTAACACCACAAAATAGGTGTTAAGAAACCTTTTTTTAGCCAGCAATGCTTTTAAGAGCTGCAATAAATGTTTCTAAGAGCTATAAAGATTTTATCGCACACACGTTTTCTGTGCGTAGGGGATTAATTATTTTATTGAAAATTTGATGCTAGTTTGCTTTACAATTTACAAAAGCGCAAGCATACTGTTTTAAGACTTCAAACTAAAAGCAAGGCATATAAAATAAATAATTTTACTAAATTATTGGAATATCGTGCATTGCAAGCGAACCAATTATATGTAATGTCTCAATAATAAATTCCCATACCTGATCAAAGCAAATTAAAAACGGTGAAATCCATATCTATTTCAATTTCTTCGAACTGACTGTGACGCTCGACAACTGACCCTTTTAACTCTTCTCCACGCTCCTCTGCCACAGTGGAGAATTCACGTGGAATACCACGGATCTGACTAACCCTTTGGATGTAGATCAATATTTGCCAGATTAGAAAACCAAACAAAACACACACAAATAGATGCAAATAGATGCAAACTTTGTTATTAAGCTGCGAAATTTTAGGCACAATTATCAGTCGGCTGCCAATGAGACATTGTTTGGCGACCGGCAAATGGCAATCTCCCCATTGGCGACCATCCTCAAGGCGCGGAAGACCCCAAAACTCCGCTCCCGAACAGATGTGAAGCGATTCATTTGCTCCTAACCCTTCTACCCACCTTTACCCACTAAAACACCGATTTGCAAACATTAGGCGCTCAATTACCCGCAGTAGCTTCTAACGAGCTGGAAGGGGCGGGTCGGATCATCGGATCGGAATCATTAGCATCTACGTCAGGGCTCTCGGAACTGTTCCTCCGAAATTGGGGACTGGCGTGCCATATGTGCCGTGTGTCCACTACAAAGCTGACACGAAATGGGCCTGGGAAAGTCGGAAAGTGGGGAAAGCCCCTTCGTCTGCGATGCGAAAAACGCAGGCCGCAACCCAAAAATTATAGCTGTATAAAACAAGGCAGTTGGTCGTAATTGCAGCGCCGCATCAGGCACAAGTATTGTCTGAGCCACTTACTAGCCCAGTGATGCTGGCGACTTAGCACATGGAAGGTGACAAAAGCCCTGCAAAGTCGCAGCCAGCAGAACAATGGAGTGCATATACTCGCGGGCGGTGCTGGGAAAACCCAAGCGGCTTTCAACGCGCAACATTCGACTGCAGATGTCCTTGAACCTGTGCTGGGGAATCCCGGCGAACCACTAACTTGCACAGCAGGAAACTGTTGGAGCTACTTGCTAGTCTAACCTGTAGTAGCGATACGCTGACTTCTTGCTAAGTGTTTGTAAACAGGAACACCTAGAGGTGCATATATAAGCTGTCTAAAAGTAAGGCAAGCGAACAGATGCAACAATGTTGTCATAGGAAATATTGGTTGATACCGGTAATGGTGTTGGTCCTTTCAAAAGTTAGCGTGCTATTTTCACAGATCTTATATAAAAATCATGTAGCTATCATTCAGCGTTTAAGCTCTATACTAGGCTGAGTCACAAAACAAATAGAATTGTACCCAAAATTGAATTTTCAAAACGTTATAAAAACTAATTAGCAGTTGTGTAAATGTCGACCTTTTAGATTTTGATCAAATATGATGTTTATTGGCGTCGCGAGGCCAGGAAAACGAGATTAACTTATGTGAGATGTTATCGAAACATTATTTTGTTTTAAGAAACGGATCATTGTGTGTCAGATAATTACCTGAAAAATGCATTTAACTTTTACGACAGGTGTTCTGCGAAGGACTATAAATGTTAAGCATTTATATGGTAATATACTCGTAATTCGAACTACTTGTAAACGACTGTTACGAAAAGCAGCCTAATACATTATGTATAGCTAGAAAGGAAAGATACATTATTAAATATATTTATTACACGGGTTTTCCACGTGGAGTAAAGATAACGTGTAATCGTAATACAGTAAAAAGTGCAGGAAAGTTCAGCGGACTTCGCCCAGACATTGTCCGCTTCGCGGATGCTGTGATGAATGTCGATCGCAAGGTAAACATACGGAGAGATTTTCCAGTAGCCACAGCAAGTAACCGCCTATCTTGGCTCCAATTATTAGCCAAAGGCAAGTGCTCTATATTGGCGGCCGCTAATGGAACTGGAAGTGGAGCTAAACTCTCAGCCGAACAATGAGGAACCAACAGTGTTGGATGGCAATTAGATTTAAATTAGATTTAAATATAAAACGCTACCGCCCGTCGCAAATGAATATCTAACGAGTTTAATTGGAGCGTTAATCACATCGACAGTAGCAGGGAGAGAACGGAGACAAGACAAAACACGAGTAAGTGATGTCTAGAGCGTTAATTAGTCAGAACGCTTATAACAAATATTAACTTAATAACCATCCAGAAGAGCCAGAGAACCGCTCCATGATGTCACGTTGTTGTGATACCACAAGGGAAAGCACATTACGTATACGCACCGCAGCCACTGGCAAGCTGATTACGGCACTGATTGTCCGATTGAATCGCTATCGAGTGACTTAAACGCCTGACCCCAAATTAAATAGCAATGGGAAGTCGAGTAGCGCACTTAATACCTCATCGGGCCGGGTCGCGTATCGCAATCGGCGTCGCCGTCTAAGCCAACAGTTATTAAACAATAATCAAAATACTATAATTAATGATACAGAGCCGCAGCTCACTGACGCCAGCGAAGGCGGAAGGGGGATTGCAGCTAGCGAGCACATAAATCAGAGAACCAAAGCGAAACGATACGAATTCAGGTGGGGTAGTGGCAGGCACTATAATCCTGCTTATCGAAAATTTGTCATTTATTCAGTTATGCGTAATTCTGCTCCTGATAGCCAGCCCCGTTCCAGATATCTCGTTAGCCAACTGTCACTATTTGTTAGCGCCCGCCAATCTCCGTTCTCCGTTCTCTGTTCTAGCTTCTCCATTTTCCATTCTCGATTCCCCATCCAATGCTCCATACCGCCCACCCACTTCGTTGCCCACTCCCGGTGGCTCTTCCGTTCCAGCTGCTGCGAAAGTTCCAACGCGACAGCAGCCACATAATTAGCCTGCATATGAAAACATTTTAGAGGTTTCGAGCCGTGTTCGTTTCGAATCGTTTTGCCAACTTCCGTTCGCTTCTGCTCGGGATCTGGATGAGGGTGGAGTGGGCAGTTCGTGGATGATAAGCCGGGCACATCCTCCGGCCGGGGACTCCTATAAATACCTGTTGCCAATGGCTTTTGGCCAACATTTATTCACGGTCGCGTCCGCTGATTACACAGTCACACAGTCCGCCGAACAATTGCATTGTGACACCGCTTGCGCTTTCCAATACTCAAGCTCGCAGTTGTACCAGGTAAGGGTTTTGAAACGGAACAACACCCCGTAAATCACTTAGACACTTAGATAGTTTAGACGAACAATGAGCTGTCATTTGGAGCAGGTATGGCAAACAAAGCGCTTTCTTAGAACTATTTTATGGGCTCTTTAGTGCCACTAGGTCGTAAAACGTGATTCATAGCTGCATCCTTTGGGTCGGCGCAGGTCGGCCCTAACTAGAAGCTAAGTGCCTTATAATTCTCGTAATTATCGGCTTTACCTTCTTCCGGACCCATGTATCAGCAGCTTGCGTCAGTCCCGCCCAAAAATCATTGAGCTTGATCACTTAACCGAGTTAAAGCCGAGTTTTAGCCAATTAGCATACCAGATTGCCCGTTATTATCTGAGGCCCTTCAGAGATCCAGACCCCTAAATAGGTGCCCAAGCACTTAAGAATTTAATTTAATTACTTAATATTGGTAGTTAGTTCTAAGGTTATTCTACCCCGTCATCGATTATTGTAAATGGAAAAACACCATCTAATTATATATACAAACATTGTAACGCTCACGTGTTTCACTAAACTATTCATTTTTATGGATTCTGTAAAAACTTTAAATAACTGTGTGCGCAGGTATTTTGTTCAGCTACATAAAATTAGAAATCTAAAAGCACACAGAAAATATCCAAAGTGTGGGAAGCACATTCGCTTCAATAAGCTAATAAGTTAATTTCTAATTTTCCCTAACTTTGGGAGGTACTGCAATGTTAGCTTGCCTTTTGGTTTCTTCATTAACAAAAGTACTAAGAGAAGTGAGATAAGTAAATGTATCTTAATGTATCGTAAGCTAAGATATTATTCAGATTCAGCGCTCGATTCACAAAGTATCCTGCATAAACCCACATTGACCTTTCCCAGAACTATGTGCCAAATAATGCGTTGCATCCTGGTTGCCTGTGTGGCCCTCGCTCTCCTTGCCGCCGGCTGCCGGGTAGAGGCGTCCAACTCCAGGCCTCCACGAAAGAACGATGTCAACACCATGGCCGATGCCTACAAGTTCCTGCAGGATCTGGACAGCTACTACGGGGACAGAGCCCGGGTTCGGTTCGGAAAGCGGGGATCGCTGATGGAAATCCTGAGGAATCACGAGATGGACAACTTAAATCTGGGAAAAGGCGCTAACAACGGAGGAGAACTGGTAACCATACAATAACTCGCTTTCGGCGCAAAATTATAGATTTATTCTACAGGTCCGCCCGTTTAATGAGGAGGATATATTCTAAATCCACCCTAGGCGACCATGGCAACGTCACTAACTCATGATTATAGTTATTAGCATACGCACTTTTATTTAACTGTTTTACGGGGCAATAGTTTAATGTGCTGAAAAACAAAAAGTAGTTGCAGCTACAGAATTAAGTATTTACTCTAGTCTTGATGTTGGTTGAATAAATGAATTACCCAATAATCGTCTACGCGATGTCAACACTTAAATAAAGGGTGCAAAGATTAAATGGTGGTTTTTTATTTACCAATATAATGAAAGAGATTCTAAGACCAAGCCCACATATGCAACTCAAGTATACTACAAAGTCGCTCAACCGAAAAACCGAAGATACGATACCCTTGCCTACTTTTGGGCCTATGTCTTATTTGGATAGCCTGGTTTAAGCGAAATTACCTCAGTTAGTACATATTTTAATCCCTGAAGTTACAATGGTAAGTAACCCTCCATGCAAGCGGCAACTGCGGATACAGCAATTAGAAATGGGAAACTATTCTTTACAAGGAGCAGTGCCATTACTACTTACTCAAGGGTAGTATGGAGATCGCCAGCAGGAAGAGTTCGCAGTTGTACTGGATTTTGGAGCCGACCAACATGGCTCCAACGGCGGCTCCACAGCGACACCACATCAGGCTGATGCAGAGGGCCTTGCCGCGCAGATAGGTGGGCACGAACACCAAGAGGGAACCACCGAGCAGTCCAATTATGATGCCGGGAAAGGCGATCAGGAACACGAGCGAGAAGAGTTGCATCGTGTAGTTGGTGACGAAGATAAGCAAAAATCCAAATGTCGAGGAGGCCACCAGGGAGAAGACGAACATCACCTTCTTGTGCACGCAGAAGAGCGATGCCCAGCATAAGTTGTACAGCACTACATAGACGGATCCCAGAATGAAGGAGTCATTGAAGCCTTTAAAGGAGTCACTGCAGACCTATCGAATTATGAGAAAATTCAATTAACATACATACGTCGACTGACTTGGTATCGGAGGTTCCTTAACTTACCACGTCCAAGTCGGATTCAGTTTCTATAAACGGACCAGTTTCGGGAACAAAGAGTATCCGGCAGAGGGTCATGCCCTGCGTGTTTCCCAGCCTCATGTTGCAACGGTTTCGCATGGCAGTAAACCAAATTCCCAGGCCATGTGTCCTGTAAATTTGGTGAATCTACAAATGATAATCCTCCCTAGGCTCAAATCCATACTTACAGCAGCCCTAGGACGAACATAACCAGGCAAACGCACGTGAAATAGCCGACATAGGGCTTCCGAACAAGAGGCATCGCATCATCGAGCATGGAGCGCAAGAAGTTCTGGTGTTCCTTCCGCCTCTTCACCTGAACGAGCTCCTGGTAGGCAAGCAAACGTTTGATTTGATCTTCGCTAAGAGTGCGTCCCGTGTTCTTCCGAGATATCCACTCCATAGTAGCCAAGCCTCTTTTGGTCTCGCCAATCATGAGCAAAAACTTGGGGCTTTCCGGCAAGAGGAGCAATAGCAAAAAGGCGAACACGCCCGGCAGAATGTACACACAGCCCAAAGTGCGCCAAGGTCTAAGTGTCAAGGAGCCCACCAACTCTTCCTCAAACTCTATTAGGCCCGAGCTGAGGAACAGCGTAGCCCACGCCGGGCACGAGATCATGGCAAAGCCAGTAAACATGTACAAGTGCGTTATGGAACGGACCATAATCCGATGCGAACAGAACTCACTTAGGTAGGTGGCTGCCACGAAGCTTGGTCCGGCCACACTGAAGGAAAGCGTAAATTTTTAAGTGCACGCTGTGGTCTTCGGTCTCCGCATGGTACTCACAAAATACACGTGATGAAGCGCATGACAAAGAAGCCGGTGAATGTTACCGTGAACATGGAGGCCAGTGAACACAAGTTGCTTATGGTAATGGTGCGCAAGAGGGTCCAGCGCCGACCTTTCTTGTCAGTGATGTAGCCCCAGAAGTAGGAGGAGCATATAATGCCCATAAAGCCGGCCGCTGTTAGCGAGGCCAACTGCGCCTCATTCATGCGGAGATCGCAGACGGCCGCTGGACCGATGACGCCCATACCCATTGTTTCTTGGATGGTGAGCATCTGCAGGAGACCGAGTGTCAGAGTGGCAAACAGATGGACCCTTCCGAAACCTGTGTGGGTGAGCTATGCTTGTGCAAGACGCTTCTGGGCTTTTGAATATTTACCAATATCTTCCATTACCGAATCAAAGTGCTCCATTTTGGGTGCATTGGGTGTGAGGACTTACAATTTGCGAATTGAATACTGTTTCGTGTGTAATATATTCGTGTTGTGTTTGTTGTTTATTTTGACTAAAATCGCAGGGCCTAGACCAGCTGTATGTTCTCAACCTCCGTAATCAGATCCATGTGCTTGAACTCGTCCGGCTTGCGGGTAAAAGTGTTCAGCAAGCGCAGCTTTCCCTCGTCGGGCTTCAAGTAGAACATCTGCAACTCATTGGCCAGACATTGAGCCTCCTGGGCTGTGAGAACCTTGGTGTCGTATTCGCCGCGCATGAGAATCACTCCCTTGTCTTGGACCTCGGTGTAGTGGACCAGAGTGAGACACTCGGGAGCGTTCTCGTGGTGCACCTGGTACGCCAGAAGCGGTGTGAAATGCACGGTGTTGGCGGCGAATTGCAGCATGACAAACTCGAATCCCTCACTGCGGGGCAGCGGCAGCAAAAAGACAGGGTGCTCCTTGGCGCGCGCCATGAGACTCTCGTACTGAGAAGTGGTTAGAGTGGCGGCCAGGACCTCCTTAGTCTTATGGTACTCCAGCCAGATCTGGGAGACCTCCTCGGCGGTCTTGTCTTCAATCAGTTCCAGTTTCATGATATCAGTGAGCTTCTTGTGGGGCAGTTCAGCCTTCTGCTCAGCCTGCAGCTTTTGCTTGGGATTAAGCAGCTCGGAGTACGACCTGGAATTGGCAGGGGATTAGCCTTGGAGTGCTTCTTCCCCGAAATCTGTACTTACCTGGCCTGGCTCTGGCCATCCTTGATGGGATTCACCACACGCTCCACGCGATCCAGGAACTCCTCAGCCGACGTCTGCTGCATCTTGGCAATCTTACTCGCGTACTTGGAGTAGTAGGGATTGTCCTCCTTCAGCTTCTCGATGGCCTCCTCGGCGCGTCGGGCGGCGGACATGGTGAATGTGCGGTTCGCCGTCAAAGAATTATTCAGGAAAACGCGAAAAAGCAACTTCTTGGCGCATGCCATTTCCTCACCTCGCATCCAAAATTATACAACTAGACAGCTGATTCTGATTGTCAACAGGAAATCGATGTCTATCGATAGTTCGCTCTAGTGATGGCCTTTCTTTCGTTTTCTACATGACATTAAGCGAAGCTCAAAATGAATATCTTACTTTTATTTCTTTATTAATTTCGGTGACAATAATATGTTGAGCTACTGGCCATATTTCGTCTAGGTTGCCATGGTTTTTTAAAATAAATCCAGTTGTTTATTTCAAATTTAAGCCAGTGCAAACACAATCACTGTAGAGTTATTACAATTCTGGCGGGAAAACCCCCAATAGTAGAGAAATTTTAAACATTCCTTGTTTCAAAACAAACAAAAGCAAAGCGCAAGTATGAATCGTCTAGTATGAATCTCAGTATTAGTATAAATCTTTTATTAATCTTTTTTAACTAAAGGCTAACTAGTTATCTACTAGTTATTGGACCTTCTGGGTATAGCAATATGTATTACAAACATTTTTATTTATTTATCAAAATACTCTCTATTTAATCTATATTTATACTCGTTATGTATGTAACAGGCGTTTCCGACCATATAAAGCATATATATTCTTGATCAGAATCAAAAGGCTAGTCGAACTGATGGTCAGTTCGTCTGTCCGTCCGTATGAACGTCGAGATCTCAGAAACTATAAAAGCTAGAGATATAGAGATTCCAGAGATATAGACACAACGCACTCCTACGCCCACAAGCTGCCCAAATCTGTCACGCCAACAAATTTGTAAGTTATTTTTAATTTAATTTTTTTTCTTCAATTTGTACCTATATTCCAGATAATGTGAAAATTTCTCGTTTGCACTTTCACTAGCTGAGTAACGGGTATCTAATAGTCGACTATAGCATTCTCTCTTGTTTTTCTTTTATTTTCAATGCGAAACGACACTAATAATTGCACTGGAATGGAATGGAATATACTTAAAACATTTTTTGAAATAGGTAACCACTTTACCTTCTTTTGGGAGCCATTACCCACCCAACCATAAACTAAAATTTAAAACCAAATGCGTAATTAAGTTCTATAATATTATTCGTAACTACAAGCCCTGAGTCTTCAGTTCATCGATCGGCTGAAAATTTTGTATAAATATCCGCAGCGAATTCAAGGTGATTTACATTATAGCTTTGTTAGAAACGAAAGCAACGTTTAGCTCTATCAGACAGAATCTTTGCGCCAGTTTAAGCGTAAACCATAGTTCTGGACTTTACTAAGCGAAATGGATACGGATATTCAGAGATGCTTCCGTAGCAAAACGGTGTTCCTAACTGGAGCCACTGGCTTTTTGGGAAAAGTCGTTATTGAAAAACTTCTTCGGACCACTGAGGTGAAACGCATCTATGCGTTGATCAGACCGAAGCGCGGAATTGCTATTAAGGATCGGATTACCACTTGGTCAAAAGACGCGGTAAGTAGGAGAGGGAAAACCCAAAAGAAGCACTCACTCAAAAGGTTTTGAAAAGGTATTTGAACTGCTGCTCAAGTCCAAGCCGGAGGCCCTTCAAAGAGTGTGTGCCATCGCAGGGGATTGCCTCGAGTTCGATTTGGGAATCAGCGATGATGATCGAAGGCTTCTGGCCGCCGAGGTGCAGATTGTCATCCATGGAGCAGCCACCGTGCGATTCAACAAGCCGCTTCACGTTGCCCTCGCCATCAACACAAGGGCCACAAAACTGATGATTCAACTGGCCAAGGAAATGAGCCAGCTGCAGGCCTTTGTGCACATCTCCACCGCCTTTTCCAACTGCGTTATTTACAACGTCAAGGAAAATTTCTACCCCGAGCACCTCAAGTACAGCTCCGACAAGGTGCTGTCCATGGCAGAGCTGATGGGCGACGAGCTCCTGGACAACATGGAGCAAGAGCTCCTTGGCTCGTTTCCCAACACGTACACCTACACCAAAGCCCTGGCCGAGGATGTGATCCTGAAGGAAGCGGGTGGCTTGCCACTCTGCATCTTTCGACCGGCAGTCAGTAAGTGATCTTTCTTACACACCCAGTCTCCAACTAATCCGCGTTGAGATATTTTCCCAACCCAGTTATCGCGGCGCACAAGGAACCCATTTCCGGCTGGATTGACAACATGTACGGACCTATGGCCATTCTGTACGGGGTGGCGCGTGGGATACTGCGCATTGCCACCTTCGATTACCATGCTAAGTCAAGTCTGGTGCCCGTGGACTACTGTGCCAATTTGACCATGGCCTGCGCCTGGAAAACTATCGAAGAAGGCAGCAGCATGGAATCGCAGGAGACTCCTGCTATCTACCAACTGGCGCCCACCGATGAGAACCCCATCACCCACGGGGAGTTCATTCAACACGCCTACAAAGGACGCACCAACTGCCCGCTGACCAAAATGGTATGGTATCCTTTCATTCACTGCATCACAGTGCCGTGGCTCTTCCCCCTGGCAGCTTTCTTCTATCACACACTGCCAGCCTACTTTTTCGATCTGGGGCTCTGGCTGAGTGGCCGGAAACCCAGATTGGTGAAGACTTACCAGCAGATCCACGAGAATCTGCACGTCTTGGCCCCTTTTTCCTGCAAGAGCTGGCACTTTGACATGCGGAATACGGATCGCTTGCGGCAGCTCATGTCGGAGGAGGATCGAAGGATATACTACTTCGATATGGTCGGTCTCAACTGGAAGGAATACTTCCTCGATGCTCTTGGGGGCATTAGGCAGTATTTGGGAAAAGAGGCACCCACTCCAGAGTCCATTGCACAAGGCAGGAAGGTCATTAAGCGGTAATTTCCATTGTCTGTCCTGTTTCCCACAAAGCACACTACATGTATTTCAATTTAGCTTGAAGCTGCTTCATCACATCCTGCTTGGTGTCCTCTGTCTTGTGGCCCTACTAGCAGCTTGGTTGGTGTTAAGGATCCTAGTGTAATTCAGAATACGACGACTCGCGTAATTACTTCATGGAATAAATATATTCAACCCATAGAAAGTAGCGTATGCCATGTCTTTTACTTTGATTACGTCAATGGCTGCTTTGGCGATTTCCCCTTGAAAGTCATTCCAAAAAGGTATATCGTATATATAAAGAATAATTAAGGTCGCTTGTTTTTCCATTGCAACTCAAAAGTGTTCTATTAAACCTTCTCGAAATAAATCGGCTATAAATGGATACTCGAAATGATATAACAATACGTGTGGTTCCTATCTATATAGTATATACCAGTAAATTTATGCAATTGTGGAACGACTGATCGGGGACTTCTTACGCATGCACATAAAATATTTATACATCCGTAAATTGAAAGTCATCGCATGCACTTTATATTTCACTATTCATTTTCCATTCATATACTCATTTGAATTTCGCGTAAGAGATGACAGTCGATACTTAATTTCAAATCATCTTGAGAATTATAAATTCAATTTTTTTCTTCATATATTCAACTGGGCCTCATAGCGAAGTGACTTTTTTTGCTACACAAATAATTACTTAGACCAATAAAATAAACTGTCGCAGCAGTTGAAGCACGAGCTCCTCCCTAAACGGGAGTCCATCGGGTATCTTGAATATACTGAACTCGACCTTTGTTGGGTGTAACTTATAGATTCCCAAATAAATAGAAGTGCTAGTTTGGAATCACTTTTCAGTTCACTGGCTCGCAAAGCGCTCAACTACCTTACTCGGAGCAAAATGGATAGTGAGATACAAGGATTCTTTAAAAACAAGACCGTTTTCCTTACGGGTGGCACCGGATTTCTGGGAAAAGGTACCCCACTCATGGAATATTATGGAGTATGGAGTAGCTTATGGAGTATGCTTTTCAGTGATCACTGAGAAACTGCTGAGGACCACGGAAGTCACTCGGATTTACACCTTAATTAGAGCTAAGCGGGAAGTGCCCATCCAAGACCGAATCACGGCCTGGGCGAAGGATCCGGTAAGTGATCTTCAGTGCTAGAGCGGCAGATGTGTCCTGACCACTTGTGTTTCGAAGGTGTTTGAGGTGCTCCTGAGGGCAAAGCCAGATGCCATGCAGCGGATTTGTCCCATCGCGGGGGACTGCCTGGATCCGGATCTGGGTATTAGCCAATCGGATCGGAGGATCCTGACCGCCGAGGTGCAGGTTGTGATCCATGGAGCCGCCACCGTGCGATTCAACGAGGCTTTACACCTGTCCCTGGTTATCAATGTGCGGGCCACTCGTCTGATGCTTCAGCTGGCCAAGCAGATGACCCAGCTGGTGTCCTACGTCCATGTCTCCACCGCCTACTCGAACTGCGTGGTACATGACATCGCAGAGCGCTTCTATCCAGAGCACTTGAATTGCAGTTCGGATAAGATCCTGGCCGTGGGTGAACTGGTGAGCAATCAATTACTGGACGCGATGGAACCGAGCCTTGTTGGCTCCTTCCCCAACACGTACACCTACACCAAAGCCCTGGCTGAGGATGTGATCCTGCGGGAGGCGGGCAACCTGCCCCTGTGCATCTTCCGCCCGGCGATCAGTAAGTGCAACAGATTGGGAGTAACCGTCAAAAGCTACAACTTCAATATTCCCAGTAATGTCCACTTACAAGGAGCCCCTGGTTGGCTGGATAGACAACCTATTCGGACCAATGGCCCTCTGCTTCGGCGCAGCGCGCGGTATAATGCGGATCACCACGGTGGATCCCAATGCCAAGATCAGCCTGGTTCCCGCTGACTTCTGCGTAAATGTGGCATTGGCTAGTGCCTGGAAAACGGCGGAGAAATCCGTACTGAATGGAAAGGTCAAGGAGCCTCCCATTTACGCGTTTGCGCCCAGCGAGAACAACCTGCTGACCTACGGAAGGTTTATCAAATCATCTCTTATGTATCGGGACATCATACCACTGACCAAGATGCTATGGTATCCCTTTGTCCTCTGCATCTCCAGCACATCCCTATTTCAAATAGCCGCCTTCTTCTTACACACTCTCCCCGGCTACTTCTTCGATATGTTGCTGCGTCTCAAGGGCCGGAAGCCCATTCTCGTGGATCTGTATCGGAAGATTCACAAGAACATCGCCGTCCTGGGTCCGTTCTCCAGCACCACCTGGAACTTTGACATGACCAACACACAGGAGCTAAGGGAATCGATGTCCAAGCAGGACCGCAACCTGTACGACTTCGACATGGCCCAGTTGGATTGGGCTGACTACTTCAAGTCCGCCATGTACGGAATGCGCCTCTATATTGGAAATGAGAAACTCACTGCGGAGTCCATTGCCAAGGGCCTGAAGCTCAGGATGCGGTGAGTTTCATAATGATACCTTTAGTTCGCCTTAATTCACAAGTTTAATTTTCGCAGCCTTAAGGTCCTTCACTATGCATTCGCATCCTCGCTGGTTTCCGCTGCTGCTTACGCCCTGTGGTCGCTGGCGAAACTTGTGGTTTAATTCCGAAGAGGGGCTATTCAAAATTTAAAACCCATTGACTTTAGCACCTTCAACAGGCAGAACTTTAGGGATCAACTTTTGTGATCAACAATGCGTTGCAATCGACTATGTCTAACTTTCCAATTTCGCCCAACAGCAAAATTTTTTACATTTTAAATTTATTTATTGCAATACTTGCAATAAAAGTGTAGGGCTGAGATGCTATCGACTTATTCGTCACCTATTCATCATCACTCGATATGAGAAAACGATCACAGCTTATTTGTAAAACTTCGTAAATATTACCTTTAAGTAAGATACCTAATGTAAGATACCTTGATAAAACATTTGGTTTAGGACAAAAGAATATTTTCCAAGTTCTACAGCTTACATTTTAATTAAATGCCTAAAACATACTTTAAAATGCAGTAACCTTAAACGAATTTCGCAATTTGTAATCTTTCCTGGTATTTTATAAGGTTTGGTTTGGTCGAAACTAATTTATGCATCACAGACATCTTTTTATAAGCATCTATTTAAACCAGTCTTTAGTCTAGTTATACCCGTTACTCGTAGAGTAGCACAAATTTATTTCCAAATGTTGCCACGCCCACTCTAACGCCCACAAACCGCGCAAAACTGCCACACCCACACTTTTGAAATTCCTTTGACCCCCTTTTTATACGTTTTTGAAGGAAGTACTAGCTTCACTCTAAATGCGGCAGTTTTGCTGTTGACGTCGCCATTCAACCAGAAGTGCGCTAAACGATAAAATATAATCATTATTTTCAAAATAAAATTGCACTCTTTGCAAGCGTTGTTCAGAGGTGAGTCCAATTAAGATGAATTGTCAAACCAAACTGAGAATAAATCACTTTACAGCAGTGAAATCGGTCGCCATCTCGAAGAGTAATGCTAACTTTTTGTGTAAAAAGCTTTGTAAAAAGCTATATTGTGTAAAAAGCTTCTAAAAAAGTTAAAAAATAAATAAAATATAAAATTACAAAGCGCGAAATGTATTTGACACATGTTAGTAATATTGCGGCACAATCGCTACTACAGAAACAGCAATTTCGACATGATAATGGGCTGTGGCATTAAATTGGATTTCAGTACTTTGCAGTAGTTGTGATTCATTTTCAATATCCATGGGCTCGGGCTCAATTTGTAGTTCATAATCGACATCTACGTTCATGGGCTCGGGCTCGGCTTGTGAATCACAATCGTCATCTATGTTCATGGGCTCGGACTCGATTTGTAGATCAACAAACTCGACATCTACATTCATGGGCTCGTAGATTTGTAGATCAAAATCGACATCTACATTCATGGGCTCGGGCTCGATTTGTAGATCACAACCGTCATCTACATTCTTGGGCTCGGGCTCGATTTGTAGGTCACAACCGTCATCTACATTCATGGGCTCGGGCTCGATTTGTAGATCACAACCGTCATCTACATTCATGGGCTCGGGCTCGATTTGTAGATCACAACCGTCATCTACATTCATGGGCTCGGGCTCGATTTGTAGATCAAAATCGACATCTACATTCATGGGCTCGGGCTCGATTTGTAGATCACAACCGTCATCTACATTCATGGGCTCGGGCTCGATTTGTAGATCACAACCGTCATCTACATTCATGGGCTCGGGCTCGATTTGTAGATCAAAATCGACATCTACATTCATGGGCTCGGGCTCGATTTGTAGATCACAACCGTCATCTACATTCATGGGCTCGGGCTCGATTTGTAGATCAAAATCGACATCTACATTCATGGGCTCGGGCTCGATTTGTAGATCACAACCGTCATCTACATTCATGGGCTCAAACACCATTTGATCAAAGGCGTCATCGACAACAATGGGTTCTAAAACAAGTTTGACTTTTCTAGAAGATCGCTTATTAAGTCGTTTCGTTGACAGTAAGCTTGCGAGCTTTGTTGAGCTTTTTCGCAGGCGAGTTTTCGCATTCATCATCATCATATTTTGCTTTCAATATTTCTTTCTAGTACTATATATACAGTTTAGTTTTTATAAGAATCCAAATGTCTGGATTTGCGCTCAACGAATTTGCGTTCAAACCTTAGTTGTACTATATTTACAGTTTTTGTATGAATCCAAATGTCTGGACTTGGATTTGCGCTCAACGAATTTGCGTTTGCGAATTGCAAACTTTAGTTGTACTATATTTACAGTTTTTGTAAGAATCAAAATGTCTGGGAATTCGGATTTGCGCTCAACGAATTCGCGTTCAATCTTTCGTTGTACTCTTATATATAGTTAATATAAAAACAATCTAGGGGTCTGCGAGTTCCACCAACCACCACAAAACACCCAAGACCGGCCGGCCGGGCCAGTCGCAACCCGGGCCCGGGCCCGGGTACGGTCTCGTTCTCCACCCGCGGGCCCCCCTCCGCATTAAAAAAAAGCGCCTATTTAAGCGTCCAGCCCCCGAACAAGCACTTGAGAATTATAGTCATTTCCAGTTTGTAGTCTGATCGTAGTATGCAGACGCATACTTGCATCCGGCTTAAGTAGGCAACTTTACACAGATCGAGCGTCCCTTGTTGTGAATCAGCTGTGTAAAGTGTAGCTTAATTAGAAAGTGTAATAGGCCATAGGGTGTGGGTTCTCGAATCCCACAAAGAACACGAACTTATTTTTTTCAACAGCCCAATTAAGCCCTTATAAAAATATGAAGCTTTTCATTATTATATTAAATCGTCAGCTTATCCATCTTCACCTCGTTTTTGCACTTTAAATAGTATAAACTACAGTTGGCCACGTCCGTATGAACGCCTCGATCTCAGGAACTACAAATGCTAGAATTTTGAGATTAGGCATGCAACTTCCAGAGACATAGACGCAATACAAGTTTATTTCCAAATGTTGCCACGCCCACTCTAACGCCCACAAACAGAACAAAACTGTCACCCCCACACTTTTAAAAAAATCTTGTTTTCTTATCCGATACAATTATATAGTGCACGCTCCAGGTTCCATGCGCAAAAATGTCCGAATTAAGTTTTTTTTACTCTCCGTAGCAGTTTTTTAAGGTGTAAATTATTTGTTAAAACGGAAAAAGATTGCAACAAATAAATAATACAATATACAGATATTACGCAGGCCGTAGACGTAAACAAATATATATTTTTTTAATATTGGAATATACATACATTGTATAAAGCTAAAGCATTTGTTCTCGTAGGATATACAACGATTTCTGTAAGTGCATAAATCTAATAATAATATATATAATAATATATTAGAGCAAACGCATCTAGATTAATACCAACCCGATTCTGTAATTTATTGGATATTTGTATAACAAAAAGCTGTCCCCTCTTTTATTTTATTAAACTTTATTGTTAACGTTTGAGTTTAGTAACAAGAACAAGAACTCAAAATACTTTCTAAAGTTTCCAATTGTTCTGCAATAGTGCCTAAAATAAACCAGCAAATATTGATGACGGTGCAGATATCAAATGTTTCGGCGCCTGTTAAGAACCGAGGAATGCAATCCGACCGCAGCTGTGACTATTCATTAGGTGTTTTAGGTCAGCTTGGCATAATTAAGCATACGATTGGCCGGGTCACAGTACAAGAGGCACTTCGTCTACCGGCCCACCATACATATATAAAAAGCGCGACCATTCCCAATTGATTTCCTAGTAAATTGTGAATTTCAACTCGCAAGCATCGCATCGGTAGAATTCGTCAGAATAGCGCCGAACATTATCGTACCCAGAACGGAAATGGACGACGGCATTCAAGGATTTTATAAGGACAAGGTGGTGTTCCTCACAGGCGCCACCGGGTTTCTGGGAAAAGGTATAATCCGAGGGAGGGACCCAGGAAATCTGGTTACATTTCATCTCCATTCTCACAGTAATAATTGAGAAGCTCTTGCGAACGACGGAAGTGAAACGCATTTACTCTATGATCAGGTCCAAAAATGGTAAGGACATGCAGGAACGTCTCGCCACTTGGAAGAAGGACCCAGTAAGTCACAAGTGCCAGCAAGGGGGAGCCCTTCTTAGGATTTACTTTCACTCTTCAAGCTTTTTGAAGTCCTGCTGAAGCTAAAGCCGGATGCACTGAAGCGAATCTCCGTCATCGCGGGCGACTGCGCGGACCCTGACCTGGGCATTAGTGGGTCAGATCGCAAACTTCTGGTTTCTGAGGTGCAGATTGTCATCCATGGAGCAGCCACGGTGCGCTTCAATGAGCCACTTCATGTGGCCCTGGCCATCAATACACGTGCCACGAGACTGATGCTCCAGTTGGCCAAGCAGATGAAGCACCTGGAGGCCTATTTGCACATCTCAACGGCGTTCTCCAACTGCGTTATTTTCCGCATCAAGGAGCAATTCTATCCCGAACACCTGACCTGCGGCTCGGACGCAGTTCTGGCCATGAGTGAGCTACTGAGTGAGCAAATGATGGACAAGCTGGCACCCACGCTAGTTGGAGACTTTCCCAACACCTACGCCTACACCAAAGCCCTGGCAGAGGATGTGATCCTCCGGGAGTCCGGCGACCTTCCCCTGAGTGTCTTCCGACCATCAATCAGTGAGTATTGAAAGTGGTGAAAAGGCTAGGTGTCCTCATATACATTTATACATGCTTTCACAATCCAAGTAATCGCCACCTATGAAGAGCCTGTTTCCGGTTGGATGGACAATCTCTACGGACCCATCGCTTTCGTTTACGGCGCGAGCCATGGCGTCCTCCGCCTGACCACTTACAAACCAGATGGTTATTCCTCCTTGGTGCCCGTGGACTACTGTGCGAATGCGGCTTTGGCCAGTATATGGCAGACATCCAAAGAGAAATCACAACGAGATACCACATCCCAGCCCGCCATCTACACCTTAGTACCCAGTGAAAACAATCTACTAGCCAACCCGGACTTCATCGACCACATACTCAGCGTCCGCGAAGATTTTCCATTGACCAAGATGATATGGTACCCGTTCGTACACAGCATTTCCAACCCGCGACTTTTCCGTCTAGTCGCCTTCTTCTATCATACTTTACCTGGCTATTTCTTTGATCTAGCCCTGAGACTCACGGGAAGAAAGCCCCGTCTGGTGAAGCTGTACAGAAGTATACATGTGAACATTGCGATGCTAGAGTACTTTTTGCATAACAGTTGGCACTTTGAGACGAAGAGCATAGATCGGCTGAAAGTGTTGATGTCTGCGGAGGATCGGCGAATATACAACTTCGATATGGAGGCTTTGGACTGGAAAAATTACTTTCGGAAGGCCCTCTTCGGCATGCGACTTTACCTGGCCAATGAACCTCCAACAAAGGAATCTGTCGAACAGGGTCGGCGACTCTTGCACCGGTAGGTTCTTGTGGATATACATATGTCGTACATTCGCATAAATTTCATTTTATTGATTATTAGATTGAAGTTCCTGCACTACAGCTTTGTGACCCTACTGTGCGCCTTAGCTGCCTTCTTGGTGTGGACCCTTGTCAGGTTGTTCATTTAGAACCGGAACATTAGAACTAAGAAAAACTCTGGGTGTTCATTGAATAGACTGTAGTTTATAGTTTCAAGCAATAAAATAACAATTGAAATTAAGCAAATAGATCGAATTTGAATCCTCCAATCGGAGGATCCACACTCGGCATCAAATTTTCATATATTTTAAGCTTAGGATATCAGTTGCATAGGTATGTGCAGATAGTTTGGTTAGAATTTAATATTGGCGGCTAAGTATTTTGCAGAATAATGAATACCTACGTATTGTTAATTTTTAGTCTTCGCCGATTCCCGTATGTTGAATTTGGGAACACGGTCCTTTCGGGCCAGTATTTTGTTCGAGTTATCCTCGATGTTGATGGCGCTGATGATCAGGTTGACCCGGCGTTCAATAACGCCAATGAAAAGCTTCACATTGTGGACTGTCAGAAAGGTTTTGGTACTGAGCACATTCAGGATGGGAGCATCGTCGCAGGCCAATTGTCTATGGGGAAAATGCAGTTTGCTAGTTATTCAATAGCAAAGAAATATTCCCTCGGATTGCACCTGAATATATCCTCGATGCCCTTGAGGAGCTGTTCTAATCTGATGCTCAGGGTTCGCTTCTTTTCTCTGGTCTCCTCCGCCAGCTGCTCGATCCGCTCCTTTTCGGCATTCAGATAGTCGAGTGCCTCGGTCTTGAGCTTCAGCTCCTTCTCGGTCTGCTCCGACTTCTGCCGTTCTGTTGGGATATGATAAAATATGTATTATATGGAAGTCATATGGCCAGAAAGCATCAACACACCTATTTCATCCTGAAGCTCCTGAGTGGAATCGTTGAGTACTTCCACCTCGTGGCTCAGCTCGTTCACATAGTTGAAGAGGGCAAAGTTCTCGTCCTCCTGCCGCTTGAACTGGGCCACCAGGCGGTCCGCGTCCTCCTCGCCGTAGAGCAACTTGATCTTCTCGATGATCTCCTTGTACTCCAGAAGCTGCCTCTCGTAGGTCTCCTTCTGGTTCTGCTTTTTGTCCATTTCGCGCTGCTCCAGCTCCGGATTCAGTCGCTTTTGTCCCTTGATGTCGAAGAACTTTTGCAATTTGGCGTCGTGCTCCAGGCGCCGCTGCATCTCGCGCATCTCCTGGATGTGCATCACCTTGTCGTTCTCGTTGCGATCCTTCAGGACGGTCAGCTTATTGCACAGCTCCTCTCGCTGGTCGAAGGCCAGGGTCGACTGGTCTATGAGGTCCATGATGAACTTCTTGCCCTCGTTGAACTGGGTCACCATGGACTGCCACATGTCATTGAAGTTTGCCCTGTTGGTGGAGTCGGAACTATTAGCTCAATTCGGCAAATATAACAAGATAGAATGCTATAGTCGAGTTCACCGACTATCAGATACCCGTTACTCAGTTAGTCGAAGTGCAAACGAGAAATTTCAAAATAAAAAACTTACAAATATTTTAAAAGTGTGGGCGTGAGAGTTTTGTGGGCGTGGCAACATATGGAAACAAACTTGCGCTGCGTCTATGTCTCTGGAAGCTGCATGCTTAATCTGCACATTCTAGCTTTTGTAGTTCCAAACGGGTATAATTACAAAAAAAATACAAAAATACATTGAATACAAATTTTTTTGGAGTATTGCGCCACAGACATGTTGAGATATGCCACATAATCCGATTAAGATAAGTTGAGTTATGGAGTTAAGAGCTTTAGCCTTGGGACATTTCATAATTTTTTTTAATTTCTACAACCACATCAAAAAAATTACAAAAAAATTTAAAAAAAATGAATTCCTAAATTTAAATGCAGATTTTTGGAGAATTGCGCCAGAAACATTTAGAGTTAAGCCATTTCTTTTTATGGTCGGAAACGCTTTCTTCTGCCTGTTACATACTTTTCAACTAATCTAGTATACTAGTATCTAGTATACTTTTACTCTACGAGTAACGGGTCCATTAGGTAACAAAGCTTATTAATATGGCGAACACCTAGTTGTCCTTCAATAATCCTATTAAATTGCGTATATTTTTATCTTAGTGAGAAACGCTCACCGATCCTGCAACATGTGGTTTATGGCGTCCCTCATCTTGCTGTTCTCCGTGAGCACATCGCTGCACTTCTTGTTGACGACATCCAGGCGGTTCTCCAACTTGACCACGCTCTTCTGGACCTTGCAGATGGTGTCTTTGTAGCAGTTGTCGGGCACTTCGTTGCGCCGCAGGGCATCAATCTCCTTTTCCATTTTCCGGATGTGGCCCTCCAGCTCCCAGAGATTGGTCCGCTCATTCTGGAGCACCCTCTGCAGATCCGCCTGCTGTTCCTGCAAAGTGCCCAGGTGCTTCTCTCTCTGAAATCGTTGTAAATCCTTATAGGTGGCTGCCTAGTCCATGAAATATGTACTTACATTGGTGTTCTTTCGCGCATGAGTTCCTCCTTCTAGAGTTTTGATTTCCTCCTTCAGCTTCTGGTGCTCCACTTGCAGCACATTGATCATGTGATTCTGCTTCTTCAGACGCTTGGCCTTCTCCTCGAGGAGACCCCGAAGGTCCAGCTGGAGACCTCGATGTTGGCGCTGCAGCCTTTGCAGCTCGGCAGTGGCCAATTGATCCAGCTCGCTTTGGTCAGCCATCGTGATTGGCTTGCTGAATTTGGCCTATGTAGTTGTAATCTCAAAACTATGTTTGATTTCAATGGTAAACAAGTTTTGCTGGTGGCAAGTTGCTTAGTAACGGCGTGGTGAATCGAGGACTTTTACCATCAAAATAGCCAGTAAGCTTAATCGGAATAGAACCAAAGCGGTACATAGCTTCTTCAAATTGTAGGTTTGATCTTTAAAAAAGAATAGATGTATCAGCGATTCTTTTTATATTATAACCGTTTCATTTGGCAATGAAAACGGACTAGCAGCGTTGCCAGCGTTAACTCTGATTAGCGGAGTTATCCACCGCCCTCTGTCGTTGCCAGCCTTTGCCGGTTGAACCGGTTGACAATGAGAGGGCCAACTTAGCGGGTAAGTACACATCGATAAGTCATCGATGATTCGGCGAGATAGTGCCACCTCCAGTTCAAACGCTCGGCTTAAACCTGTTCTCCGCTTTTCGTTTTAATTCGAAAAAAACGTTCGAGCGTGGCGCACGTTGCGATTCCTCCGACTGGTACTTGCTCCCCTTACATTGAAACTCTGTGGAAAATCTATACTGTGCATAGGGCATAACTCTAAAATAGCTGCACGGGTCATTTCGCTGCTCTTGCTATTGATTTACCACCGCGCTGCGTTCGTTTGTGTGTGCTACTTAAAGAATTTGTGTTTTTTCCGAGTTTGGTCCGTGAACATTGCATAATTTCTGTGGCGGCCGTTAGCTCCTGCAGCGCGACTTTCCAAGAATTACGCAGAATAACCAGAACGACCAGAGAGGAAACTATAAAATCGAAAACAGAGCAAAGTGCCGCAGCAGCGAAATGGGAAGGCGCATAATAATTAAACACACACAATAAGCAGCGGAACGAAGAAAAAATAATACACAATAAGCGCAGCTTTGTTTCTAGTTAAATTGCGCTTGTGTTGTGCTTGCGATTCCTCGGTGGTCCGTTTTTCGCTTGTTGTTCTATGTGACATAACGGAACTTAGTCTGGCCTGCCAAAGAAAAACGGGCAAAAAAGAACAGGAAGCGAAGCGATAACCTTGCAAAAACAAAGAAAAAAAAAGCATACCAAGCATATATCAGTGAATTAATATTTTCTTTTCCGAGGAAATGCTGTTTGTTGTCGGCTAACTGTTGTTTGCCTTTGAATTGCAGATCTTAATCGTAGAGCAGCACTCACACTAGCACACGCCCCCCCAGAACAGCACACACATACACACACACTCGACGTACACTGCCAGCGCATAAACAAGTGCTGTTGTGGTTGTTGTTGCTGCTGCTCGTCCGCTAAAATGCTGAACGCTGCAGCGCTGCTTTTGGCGCTACTCTGCGCCGCGAACGCAGCCGCCGCCGCCGATTTGGCGGACAAACTGCGCGATGATTCGGAACTCTCTCAGGTGAGTCAGAAGAAGAAGAAGCGGGGAACGACGAAAACGTGGAGGAGGAGGAGAAGGGAAGTGGTAGAGTATGAAGAAGCAGTAGCAGCAGAAACAGTTGATGCAAACAACCGAAACACTTGTCCGTAGTCGATTAAGCTCCCAGCTCCACCCACCAACCGCCACCCGCCCACCAAACGCCGCGCCCCCCGCTCACCTTGGCTTATCCTACAGTCGGCATTGCCTACGACGAACCAGTGGTAGTCCGTTTGATCGTCTTGTTTTATCTTAGCAATAAATTTAATTACTGTGAAGAGGTAAGCTTGAAATTCTTGTCAGGCTGCAAACAAAAACTATTTTAGGTATTCCTGTACACAAAATGTAGTCTTTGAAACCACTAAGCTGATTTTTTTGTTGTCTAATATTTACATCATATTGTTGAAAAACTGCCTAAGCTTTAACAGTAATCACTCGCTTTTCCTCTAAGGCCAGCGTACATTTTTGTCGCTCCAAAAAAGATACTTTCTTGTGATGACTTGTGATGCTTCTCATGATCGAAAAACCTTATTACAATGATAAAATCCATTTTTATTATGCCTGGCTTGGGTTTGACGACGTCAATAAATTTGCCGTGGCAACTTATCAAAGGTCGGCTGTAATTGCGCCACCAGCCACAAGGGCTGCCCCATTTCGTTGGCCTTGAAAGGAAAAGCCTTGGCGGAGTGTGCGAGGGGAGGGAGGCGACGGGCGGGAAAAAGGAGCCTGCGCAAGAGGGACGCACAGATGGCCAAGGCACCCGCATTTGGGCACAGGTAGCCTTTGTTCCGGCAGCATCGTCCTTGACCTTTAGCCACCTCACTTGTTGTTGGCCTGCGGAAAATCGATGATGCTGCCTGAAATCCCTGGCGGCAGGGCAGGTCCAGCCGCCCGCTAAGCTCCACTTGGCCACATTTCGTATGCATGGCGGAGTTGGTTATGTAAAAATGAAAAGCCACATAAATTAAGCACCGGTCTGCAGAATGGGCTACTTCAGCAAACAGCAAATGGGAGAAACATCGCCGGCCGTTGACGTCCACTGAGCATAACAGTTTTATATTTAGT